TTTTTTTTTTTTTTTTTTTCATTCTCTCTGATACTATGGAAGTCAGGTGAACATACGATTTTAAGCAGGTAGATTTCAAATGGGTTGTCACTTCTCCCATGCTGGGGGTGCATGGCTGGGATGAAGGTCAGGAGCAGATGTTGTGAAGCAGTAGTGTATGTCACATGAGATCACGTCGTCATCTGCAGCACCTCTTGCCCCTGCTAATGCAGCTGGTTAAGAGATGGGAAACCTGGCTCCAGAGCAACTCAACAGATGCACAATTTCGGGGAGCATTTTTGAACTAAATTACAATACTGTCTTGTTCCACTTCATTGTCCCTCCTCTCCTCTAATGGGGCTGTGACACCTTCTCTGCATTTAACATTTTCGCCCCGCAGAATCCAAAGCTATTTATAAACCATTTACAGTAACTGACTTCCCTCTCTAGCACAGGGTGGCACAAACACAACCGTTCAGCTGGTGGATTAGCACGCTGTGAGGGGATGTGGCACTTTGGAATATGTCCATCAGAATGAGAAAACAGGTTCCAAGTTTAATTGCGTATTTACCCGAGAGACACTCTTCCACCCTTGCTAAAGGTATGGGGAGCCGTGCCTTGAGCAGGGCTGTCCTGTGTGCTGCTGGGGACACCAGCCCCCAAAAGACCACTTGGCCTTTGGCCGTCTGGATTTTCTCCTCTTGGTTTATATTCCATATGTCACAGAAGTGAACACCTGTCTGTCAAGCTGAGCTTAAAATCAAATGCAAGGTGCTGGCCGTGTTGCCACCGCACTGGATTGTGCACAGTACCACGTTTAAGACCCCACAGAGAGATTGGAGTCTTTCAGGCCAGGCTGCTCTGCATGCAGGTGAATGGAGGAGGCACAGGATGAACCAGAGGATAAAAGAGGGATAGCAAAGTTGTTACAGGTACGAGTGGCCTTAGAGAGGAAAAAAAAATTTCACTGCATCCTCTGGAGAGAGTTGAACAAACTGCGATTTTTATCTGCTTGGGAGCTCTAATGCATGAAGCAAGACCATCCAAAAGGGTAGAGGACAACTGGACAAGGCAGAGCAGCAGCACCTGCATGAAGCGTAAAAGGGAAGAAGAGGGCTGAGACCAGGCAGAAGTCTCAACTTGATCGGACAGGAGACAGGCAGGACGCGGCAATCTCTGCGTATTTGGTCGTGCCCATGTGTGGCTGCTGCTGCTTTTTCTCCACTGCTCTTTTGCGCTCCCATTTCTGTGGAAACTACTGGGAAGCAGCCCATAGGCGCATGCCTGACCCGATATCCTCGGGGCCTTTGCAGCGCTTTGGGCTCGCCACAGCATGAACACTCCCGCGTGGTGCACCAGAGACCTGCTCGTGTTCAAAACCCAGCCCCACTGGGTGGGCTCCCTAACGTGCACGCTTCCCTGGCACACTCGGGTGCAGCACTGGGGGTGCCCTAAGCTCTTGGATGGGGCACAGGTTACCAGGCATGTCCAGGAGCTGCAAGTTGGGGCTGTTTATCCCCCCGTCTCCCCGAGCAATGACCTCCTTTTCTAGCCAGCGCAGCTGGGGCAATCCCGAAATGGGACCGTTGCACAGCTTCAGCAGCTCCCCAGCACCGCCTTCGTGGCTGGGTACTGCTTGCACGAGCTCTGCAGTGGTGAGCTCTATTTTAAGCGTAAATGAATAAGGAAGCTGTTGTCAGCGCCATGGTCTCCTCTGGCAGCGGTGATTTGCAGGCTGGTTGCTTTGCCCTGACAGTAAGCTAAAATGTGTGAAGTGGATATGTACCTCTTTATGTCACTTAAGAGGCTTCTGGGAAAAGAGGGCACTTATGTAAAGAGATTTTTAATGCTTTTTCCCTTTCTTTCTTTTTTGGTAGTCCAATGATTTTTAATTTGAAACTGGCAGGCCCTGAGGAGAATCTCTCATGTGGCTCACTCTGCAGTCCGTGGGTCTGGAAAGGTGTTCAGCTCTGCCTCATTCTTGCTCAAACATACACAGACGCATACGGTTTAAATTTCAGTCAACATAAAGCTGCTCTATACCTCTCGCTCTCCCAGGCTGTCCCCAAGTCTGTCCGTGCATGTTTGGGGCTGCCTCTATTGTTGAGGAAGTCAACCTTCGCGTACCTGATCTTAGTCAGCCTCAAGCTAATACAAACTCCCTCTCTCCTTCACCTTGTCACATATCACTGTTTTTCTCTCCTTTTTCTCCTTTTGCAGAGATCCTACCACCTGTGCTTTCATTGCTGCAAGGCAGAGCCAACCTCACGCTGTCTGCAAGTTCTCCCTCAACGTCCCTAGGCAGCCGCTCCTCCTCTCCCGTTCTCCTAAGTCTTTCTCATTTTTCTGGAGGCTGTGGGAAAGCCGTGCTGCTTTTCTTTCCCTCACTCACTCTACCTTTCTTCAAAAGGAGGAAGAGAGAGAGGAAGCATGATAAACCATATGTGTGCAGAGGGAGGTACAGGTTAATCCCAGAGACGCGTTGCGGAGTATGCTGAGCAGCCTGTGGGATTGTGCCCTAGCCTTTGGCTCATCGCTGCCTTTGGCATTTATACAGTTTCTCCTGTGCCTGCCTTGCAGTTCAGCACTCCCTACTCCTGCTGTTTTGGGCTTGGCTGCTTTCTTGTCACGCTGCCAGAGCTCTGGGAAAGGACCCAGCTTAGAAGGGAGGTTGGTATGGAGCTTGTTGCCCATCAGCTTTATTGAAGTATTTGTGCCAAGCGTATGCCTATTTGCCTATTATAGCAACCGTGCACTTGAGGAGCTGTGGAGGACAAGGCACTCTAATTCTTCCTTTAGGCTGCTCTTTCGTTGGAAAGATGTGAGCTGTGGTGTGTGTGATGAGCTGGTCACCAACCCGGGAGTTGAGGCAGAAAGGAATACGTAGCGTGGAGTGTAATCCAACTCAGGAAGATAAGGCAATTCTTGCTTCTGCCCTCATTGTCATGCAAGGTTCCTCCCCAGTGCTTCTGCTCCCGAGACTTGCACCGTACTCTGTGCTTTGAGAGTCCCAAAGTTTTGGGACTAGGAGCTACCAGGAGGCTTTCTAAGCCCTTGTGATTTTGCAATGGAAGCTGTTCTACCCCCCCGATCTCCTGCTTCCCGTTTTGTGGGTGCTTTTTCTTAATTTAGTGTCATGACGTAAGTGTGACTGGTATGCTCTTAGCTCGCACAGCAGTGGCTTTTTCCAAGTTGCTAGACAAACGAGTGCATGGAGTGGATGTGCACATACTTCTTCTTCAAAGGTTAAACTTCATCTAAAAAGGGCACATGTTAAGAGATTAAACCTTAGTCTGAGACTCCAGACTTAGTAGTGACTGTGACCGGGAAAGACCAGAATCCTGTCATGAGCGATTAACAATGTTCTCTTCGTGGCTTTTCAGTGTAATTTTTGGTTCCTTGTTTTGGGCAGGTCTGCAGAAATGTTCTCTTTATCTTTTTTTATGCTGCTCATTAATTTTTATGTCACTCTACCTCTAGTCAGTCTGTGTTTAGGGCCATTGTGTCTATTCAGTCCCTTCATGCCTGTAATTCTAAAATGATGAAAGAAAAGTTACTTTTTTTTTTTTTTTGAAAATGAAGAAAGAAAACAGGCAGAATTCTGAGTCTGAAAGTGAATCTAAAGAAACATCTAACTTTCTAGGGAGGACTTTGTAGTACATACCAAACGTGTACTTGAGGTTCTGATACCTCTCCTTTTAGAGCATCTTCCCAAGGCCGACCTTTTGGCTATCTCTTTTTATTTCTGCTTAAAACAATGAGAGGGGAAGAGGAGTACAACAGGTTGGTCAGTTTCTTATGGCTGTATTGGACAGACAGCCTCATGGGTGAGTGACCTCACTTGGCCATGGCACTTCTTTCTCCTCCCTTTCTTCCTCCATCCCTATATTGTCTTGCTGTGTTACAGGTTATTCCTTTTTGCTCTGATTATACAGGGAGGGCAGTGGTTTCAGCAGGGGCTCACCAGTCACTTCCATAATGCAATTTTTTTTATTTTGGGGGGGCGGGGGGGGTTTGAGCCTGTAGATTCATTTCTCTGTGCTAAGCAATCTGCTCTATTCACCGAGCCAGACATTGTGTTCAGTACTGGAGTGAATGCTAGAAGATACTGTTAATAAGCTTTCTGTTTTGTTTCTTATGCTCTGTTTTTTTTTTTCTCTCCTTCAGAATTGAGTTTCTGCGGCACCTGAAAAGCTTCTTCCAGATCATGTTTAAAATTGAAACGAAGTCCCCCGAGGAGGAGGAACACAAGGGTGGGGAGAAAGTCTTAATGACATGTGTGGGCATTGGATTTTCCAACTTGAGTAAAACAATAAGATAAAACATCTACAGACTTTCTGAAATGGGGTGACAGAAAACATTGCAAAGATCTGATATAACAATATGAGAACCTGCCTTTCCCTGTGCTTATTCTGGAACGAGGAAAACCAGCGATGATCCCAGTGCAGAGGTACCCAAGCTTGCTGCATGTAAACAATAAAGCTACCTTCAGGCTGTTTAGGCCTATATGGTGTACGAACACAATGCCACTGTTGTGCTGCGTGGAATGGCTGGCCAGAGTCTCAGCTGGCTTGGGATTTCTTGCACTGTGCTCCAGTGCATGGGACACAGGTGTCTCTTATGTTCTTGTGCCCCTCTTCCCATGCCCTCAAGCCTTAAATGCAGTGGGTGCTCTACTTGTCATTATATGTATCTACAGGCTTCACTCTTAGCTTTTTCTGAAAGGTTTAGATAGAGAAGGGAAACAGGATTGACCAAAATGAGACTTGCAGTGCAAAACAAATGATCACAACAGAAACATTAGATTCCTCAGGTAATTGCAGAGATTATACAGGCATGGAAACTAGAGTACAAGCTGGAGCAATAATTTCTGGTTTATACACTGTATGGGTATAGAATTTGTCAAATGCTTTGCTTCTGTTCAAGTTGGCTAAAGGATAGTTTTGCGGAGGGAAAAACTATCTGCCTTTTAATTTTCTTTAATGGTACAATGCTGCAGAAGAGATCTCAGCCCATACTGTTTATTCTAGCCTCCTCTGCAAAGATGGGCAGGAGAAATCTCCTTGCAGTTTTCAAGTGATTCCATATGTTTCTGTCAGGTTTGTTTGGCATGCCATACGCTACAGTTCACAACTGGCTGTGAAAGGTAGCAACAAAGCTGTGCGGGCTTTGAGGGAGAAAAATATATCCAGTTTGCACCATCACGTTTAGTGCAGCTGCTCTGTTCTGGAAAGAGGTTGTAGTTGATGGGCACTGTTTGGATTAACAGGTGCTAAAGGTTCATACTCGGGTAAAACGATTTAGCCAAGAAAGGCTTTTGGTTGATTCCAGGCAAAGCTGCTGAAGTTAATGCTGCACTCCTGACATAAGGAGAGTGAATTATACTGGACTTCAGGCTGCGCTCATCGAAATGTGTTTCGGGTAAAATGAATCCATGTCAAAAGCTAGTATATTATATGGCAAGTACTAGTGACTATGTTATAATGGTCTTACAAACTTTATCCAATGCCACTGTAGAGTGGGCATTACCTCTCTAATATGAAAAATGTATGTTGGACCCAAGCAGAACTTTGACAAAAAGGTAGGAATTTGGTTAGTGGTTTATGAGCTGTTGGAGGCTGTGAGTCGTTTTTGTACTGTACTTTGCTCTTGTTGCACTCTGTCTAAACTTGTTTTGGAAAAATAAAGTATTTTTTCCTAAATAAGGTTTTCTTCCTCCCTTTAAAAAAACAAAACCTTTTCCACAAGCTCAAGAGTCTGGCAGTTCTAGATAAGATAATCAGCTATTTTGAACTGATTTGTGAAAAGGGTGGTTTTCACTTTTTCCTTCTTGTGAAAAGAGTGGTTTTGGTGGTTGTACCTTGAGGGGTTGGTCCTTTTTGTGTGTAGTAGTTTTCCAAAACTGAAGTTACAGATAAGGAAACTCCATACAGGAAACTAATACATTAGATTCCAAATAAAATACTTTGAATCTCTATATTTTTTAAATATAAAGTTACATTGGAAGAAGCTGGTGGTCATGGAAGTCTTCTTACCTTGCTCCCCTTCATCATGGATACAATGAAAAAGCTTGAAACTCTCCGAATGAAAATTATTCTAAACACAGAGCGCCGTTGATCCAAAAGGTGAAATGTGCAAGCTGAGATTAATAGCCATCAGAGTGAAAACATAAAACCTCACTAATTAAAGATGCACATTTGGAACACAGCTCAGATTTCCAAAATCAGCATAAATAAACATTGGAAAGTGTTGTCAGAACGTCAAAAGGTAAAAGCTTGATTGCCTTTAAACTTTTTAAAGCTTTTACCTTTTGACATTCTGACAATGTTTCCAAATGTTCCACTTACAGCGGACCTGCAAAGGACAATGCATTGCCCGCAGCAGATTACTTAGCAGTACAGTAAGTATGTCATAAAATCACCTGTGCCTAACCTAACCTTAGTGTTAAAGTTAAGTTTGCTAACCCTTAGCCCTGCTGAGACAAAACAAGCAGATTGCGTAGCTCTGCAACAAAATGTTTGGTGTGACTCAGAATTGCTGCTTGCTTTACAGGAGGGGGGAAAAAATGTGTGTGTGTAAACATACATACATATGCATGTATGTATGTATGTATAAAAGAAGTATACTTTCTAGCCCAGCCAGTCTCTGGAGAAACAGAAAGAACTGCAGAAGGGGTTTTAGGTAAGAGCTTTCTTGAAATTGTTTAGCATTTACATCATTTACATTTTGTGGAAGGTACTCATTTGGAAATTCTGCAGATAAAATTTATTTATTTGCGGAACTGTGGATAAACACCATTTTGCATGGACTGATCCTAAAAGCAGCAGGATAGTTCAAGTTTAGTTTTGGAGCTGGACAAAGGGACTTAATTTTTGACAGGGACAATTCTTTTATAGCAGTAGACTGCATGGAAAGGATACTCATCTACTGGGAAATGCCTCTTTCACCTTAGTTCACGTTAGATTTAAGCCTGATGCCCTTGTATTTGAACTGGTCACCTCTATGTGAATAATTCTGTATTTAACCGAGTACAGTGTTGAACTGTACCTCAACACTTTACTTTATCTTTCTGGGCGAACAATTTTGCTAGTACCATTCTGCTGTAAAAGTTGTGAAACTTTTCTTCTTACCGAAAGCTTTAAGGATAGACAATAAGGAGGTACAGGTGTGGGAGGGGACTAGTTAACAAAAATACTTTATGACGTACATTTTAGTTAGAATAATTTTAACATTCATATATGGAGAGGGTCAAGAAAGCACAGAGAAATATTTTGGGGGAGAGTTTAATCAGAGCAGCTGATTAAATGGAAGATCTTTTCCTTTAAACTTGCCTAACAGGAAAGGCTACTGCTGTGGTGATCTGAGAAGCATTTGCAAAATGTGTGTTTACCCTGCACCTGCTTCCACTTTTCAAAGATGCATTGTTAAACTCTATTCTGTTTCTGAGGTATGATGGTAACTTGACTGCAGTTTCTGTGGTTACGTCATAAAATTCATATCGACTTGCTGTAGGACAGGCTCTGGACTAGCAGAGATTGTGCTGAAGGTGAAACTGCTTTAGTCCATGCCAGTGCAGTTTACTGAAGTTGTATAGCTGAAAACCAGTGCAATAAATGCCTGGGAAAGCACACAGCAGGTAAGGTAGCAGGCCAAAGCAGTAAGTACATGGCTGTCCTGGGCAATGTTTTCAAAATAGATTATATTTCTTCTAGGACACAGATACGCTCTGTTCTTCCCATACCCCACAGGTGATCCTAGGAGTCAAGTGGATTTTGTTTCAAGCCACTGAGGCATTATGCTGCTGTCTGCAAGCTCTGACGTTCACCTCCTAGTTTTTCAGTCATGTCCTTGAGATAGCCACAGGGAGGAAAAACAGAAGCGAAAGGAAAGCACCAGCTTTCAGGAGGGATAATTTTATTAATTTCAGTTTCTTGCTGGTTGTGTGATATTGGATGGCTGTCCCCACACGTTCATTTTGCATGTCCAGTGAAAGCGTTTCTGTTTAGTCTGGATCGCTACAGAACGCCCAGTCTGAAGGCATGCTGCTATGTCAGTGCAACTCTAAACAAAAGAAAAAGGTGGAAGGAGCAACTATTGCAAGTACTGCTTTGGTCTTGGTAAGCTCTTTCTTAAAAGATCATTCTCGGTGTCCCCAGTTGCACTTTTTTCCTTCCGTCTGACCTAGGAGCAGCACTATCAAGCTCTGAAAAACATCTATTGTCAATGGGACAGGACAAAGTCTCGCAAGGAAGAGAGCGTGTGGGCTAACGTCTGCTGCGACAGCACTGTCCATGTAATGAAGGAAAGTGATGCAATTTGCCAGAGCATCACCATGTCCAAATAGTACTTGGACTAAATAAAGTGAAGGTGTGACGTTGTTATGAGACAAGGGGTTAGAATGACTGGTTGTGTATCTGTACTAGGAGATGTTATATATGGGTGCTAATCTCCCCTCCAGGACAGTGGGATTACCGTATATACACCTGTGTATTACAGAGTATAGAAACGTCTGTGCTTGTGGCAGGCAGCAATAAGGAGACCCACAGAGGAAGTATTTTCTTAGAAAGTGCTATTGATCAAAGGTATGACTGCAAGGAAATAACGCCCAGAAGCAGCTCCTCCCTTGTTACGTGAGAGTGAAGAGTGACCAGGAGCCCCCAGCCCTGACGTGCGTGAGAGCACCGCTGCTGACGCCCCCTGGGCACGCCTGACCGCGTTGAGAGCCGGCCCTTGGCGCTTGCCTGGGGTGGATGGGCGTCTCTGCGCGTGTGTCCTCACGCTGCACGCGTGTCAGACCGCCTGCGGTCCCGCCGCGCTTCGCTGTCAGCTTGGCTAGTTTTTCCTGGCAGCCTTCACTGTGCTGCTCACACAGCAAACTTGGGAAGCAAATACTCCTTTAACTCTTGTTGAAGGGCCCACGTGTGGTAACCTTTGCATAAAGGGTGGAGGAGCTGATGGGATTCAGGGCTCGATTCCAGTGATCGTTACTATATCGCAGTGACACATCCGGTTATACAAAATAATGTGACAGACTCAGGAGGGCACTGACGTTTGCAGGCGGCGCAGAAAGTAACCGCATTTGGGAACAACTGTCTTACTGCTTATTTTATTTCTAACTTTGCAACCACTCTGCTCCCGGGAAGTTAATTAAAGCTTTTCCAGTTCTAAATTGCCTCCATGCGTAAGAAAAAATTGCTTTCGCTAGCGGCAAGCGTAGATACGTTCTTGCAGGTAGGGCTGCAGTTCTGACCAGTCCTTCATTAGCACTGTCAATTCCCCACCATCTGTCTGGAAGTGCAGTTTTGATTAGGCATAAAGGACTATGAATCTGCAGGCAGGGTCTAGATCAAAATATGCATGGATTTTGATTATTATTTCATGTTTTCTTTTTAACATCACCAAAGTTGAAGAAGAAAAAAAAGAGAAAAAAAATGTAGCTTGTTTGTGTTTCAAGGCATTTGCAAGGTGCCTGATTCAGTAAGGCTTTCTGTGAGATTTGCCTCAGCGTGTGTGTTTAGAAGCACATCTATGGATTCAGAGTGTGTTTAAGGGAAAAGTATTCTCCTAAGGACTGTCCCCGAGCACCGAATGTGAAAATCTACACTGTAACTCATGCCCAAGGAGTATTATTCACTGTTCTCACCTTGTACTTTGTGACTTAAAGAATGTAAGTAATAATTTCACAGAAAACATCTGAGATACATAGAGCTTAAACAAAAGCGCCTAGAAAATGTTATTCCTGGTTCTTCTGGAAATGTGTTTGTCAGTGTTTTGATAAAAATACTTGTTTCTTCATCCTTCATCACTAATGTCGGTAGTAAATTTTCCCTGGAAATGGTGTCAAGATCTTGTTAACGGTCTTTTGTAAGTAACGATATATGGATGGAAAGTGAAGAAGAGCTGATTTGAAAAGATCTGGCTTTTTCCACAGCACGTGGAATATCTTAGAGGAGCAGGCTATTGTACAACACCTGTGCTCCTAAACACCAGCTTACACAATGAGAGGGTGACAGGGGGGTGACGGTCTAAAGCTACGCCATCTGGGGCTGATCTTGTCACAGGAAGAATGTGGCAGCTGCCTGAATAGTTTTTCTTCTTGATTTTCAGTTTCAAAGTACAAATAAGGAATAAACATCTGTTTTGGCTTGCAGAATTAAGTAAGAATTAAGTAAACATTGTAAGCAGATGGTTTTGTGACTTGAAATTTGCTGTAAGAAGTGTGCATGAAAAGAGGGTGTAACGAATAGCCAAGGGGAGGGATACTGCAGAATCCTATTACCCTTCTTTTCCCTCCCCAGCCCCACAGGTTTACGCAAAAGAGGGTTGCGGAATTTGATCAGGAATTGCTGAATAGCTGTTGAGACATTGTAAGGAAAATACAGGAAATGATCAAAACCTCATTAGCCCGACTGAATCAGGGAGTAAAAACTTAACCATGCTTATGGTAATGGCATTTTCTCCACCAAGCAGTAACCCAGCTTTTGAAGAAAGAGCTGCTGTAAAAGAACTTTATTGAAATAAAGTTTCATTTTCAAACCCTTCCAGGCTTCAGTAAAATGCCTCACTGATTTCCTCTACCTTATTTCTTCACCACGCAGGAACAATACTATTAATTAATGGACTGTCTAAATTGCTTTTCCCAAGTAACTGTCTGACTTGTTTTTCCCAAGTCATGGATATAGAAACATAAAAACATGCATTGTTTGCGTTCATGTAATGAAATTCTTGGCTTTATAGTGTATTTTATCCTTCCGTTCCAAAGTTTGTGTTTTTGAGAAATGCCTTTGTGCCTGTGGGTGCAGAAGTATGAAATGACTCTCATATGCCACAGGGAGCTGGGATAGAAAATGGAGATCATCAGATTCTCAGGTCTGTGCAAGCACTTTCCTCATCTTACCAGTGTCAGAGACACATTGTGGCTCTACAAGCTAAAATCACCATGGCTTATCACCCTGTCCCTGGTTTTTATTCTGGTCGTAGGTTTGGTTTGTTTGTTTTGCGTACCTGAGACTCTTGCAAAGACTAAACCCTGTGGTTTACACTTGAGAAAGATTTCCTTTGTGGTGCATCCCTAAGTGCTTGGCAGGATCTTTCGCTGCTGATCTGCCCTCCCTCCTTCTGCTGGCTCTGCAGCCTTTCTTCCATGGTCCAACTAGAAAAGCTGTCTTCATCGTGCTGCTGTGGGGGTTTGAGTTGCTGGATCGTTTCCCTATCCCTCTCTCCCGGCACTCGCAAGGATTTCCCTGCAGGCCGTCTCCCTGGCCACTCACCTGGCTGACTTCTCTCCCTCTTGGGCAGTGAGTCAGTGCAGCACGCCATTCCCTGACCTCCACTTCCCTCCCTTCCACTTCAGTGACCCTCCTGCTGTGTTCATAAAAGGAAAAGCTATTAGCTATATTGAGGTTCTTCTAACTAAATGTTACCTGGTGGTCCCTGCTGTGGAAACAAAAGATTCTCCTCATCTCCCATCTCTGAGGTCTACTTTGGGATCGGACAGTGTTATCGATGCAATGAGGAAAAGTCACGGTCTTATAGCTGAATTGTCCATGTTTTAAAGTGGAGCAAGAAACTACTTAGCAACAGTCAAAATCGAAACTTCTTGCTGATCAAAATGTATGGTCTTCTTTAAAACTGGTGGCATGTTTTGCAATAAACTGACAAACGGGTGTGTTCTTGTGAAGGGAAGGGGGCTGTGGGTCACCTGAGTGAAAATCTTGAAATGCAGCTCTGCTCTTATAAAGCTGAAAGACTATGTTCGCTTGGGACCCTTCGTTAAGGACCCAGACTGAGCACTGTTTGCTTGGCAATGTTGCAGGATTTTTCTCTCCTTACCCTTGCAGTGCTGAAAGCCCCAACTGCATTTCATCACCTTTACTACAAAGACTATTTCCAATACAAAGACAATGTTGGCTCAAGTGTAAGAGTTCTAGGGACTGGATGCAACTCTCCTGCTTTTCAAAGGAAGCATAGCAGACAATAAAGAAAGGAAAAAAAAAGTGAATAAAAGTCACAGAGATGCAAAAGCACACAGTGGGAGCAAGGAATTTAACAGTGCTGTCTGTCAATCATCTCCTTAAATTTAAAATACTATAAGCTATTTTAGAATATTGCTCTTTATCCCACTGAAATTTTATATGGAATTAAAAAAAAAAAAAAAACACAACACTTGCTAGAATATTTTTGCAGTACTTGCTCATCTAACCAACCAAGAAATGCAGATGCTAAGGATATCAGTAGCTGTGTCTCACCCACAGCTGCTAGCCAAATATTAAACTCAGCGAGCTGTGTGTTTGGCATAAGGCGTCGGTTTCACTTTTGGGGGGAAGCTTAAAAATAGTGGTTCCAAGTAAAACCAGCCTTCTTGGCAATCTTTTTCAGCTTTCTTACTCTTTTCTTTTACTGAATGGTTGCCCACCCGGACCAGATCAAGAGAACGTGTATTTCTGTTGCCTGCTGCAGCTGCACAGACTGGCTCCAAATTTCACAGTTGTAAGGGTGCAGTTTTTCTGCTTATCAACATCTCCGGCTGGGTGGCTGGCAATTCCAGGCTTTCTAGAGGTGGCTCGCAGAGGGAGTCGATCGTGTGGCAGCAGAGGATGGCAGAAGATAATATACTTAAATGGGGAGCGATTGACTTGCACGGCTTAACCCCGCCGTCTCAGAGGATGCGCTTTGCCCCCAGGTCTAGCTATTTCCACAGGGGGCCACAGCTGCAGGGCTTTCGTGGTGGCCTCTCCAGCCTGAGGAGTGCCATATCCAACGCTGCTCTGCACCGCGTCGGGCACTTAGCAGAAACAATGAAAAATAACTTTCCTTCATTTTTGTTTATGGGGCCTGGTGTACCCTTTTGAGCAATTAGATAAACACTTGTAATTGGTTTCATCCTCCACAAGAAATTTATCTTGGGAACAGGCGGCATATTTACAAAATGCTCCCTGTGATGATCAAACTGAGTTAACTACTGTTTCTGGCCCAGCATCTCACATGCAGTATCTCTTATAATCCCACAGAAGGCAGGTTAGGAAGCTTGGTGGCTAATGATCCATACCTTTTTGCTTAAGGGAGAACTTTCACGCTTTATTTTGCATGTTTGTCTGAGTGTCAGGGAGCTCTTGCTGGAACTGTTCATAGAAAAATCTTCCTCCTCCAAAAAGAGGAGTTTGTGGAATCTATCTCTAGATCCTGAAATGCTCTCCCTGAGAGCTTGAATGTGTGGTTTTTTTCCATTATGCTACAAGAAGTGGAATGAGGAACCAATGTTCTTAAATGTAATTAACTGCTGGGTGCCATTCTTTGGAAATGAGAAATGAAACCAGCTGAACGTTGATTTATTATTTTAGTTGCAAAGAAAAGACATAGCACAAGTGGCTCAAATTTAAAAATAAAGGAGGAGAAAAAGAAGAGGGACGGGCTCAGGTCTGATGTTGCTGGTACTAATGTAATTCCAGAGCAACAGCAAAGTACCTGTTACTTAATTAAAATTATGTAGACTCTACCCCAGAATTAAACAATGAAAACAGTGCAATCCAAGTGGGGTGGGACAGATCTCTCTCTTGCTCTACCCCAAACGCTTCTCAGCTGTCTTGCACAGATACATAGCAGTGTACCTTTTCAAATCCAGACGTGGGTTGACAGGCACGCTCCCCAGCTCATGGCAGGCAACAGCTTCAGAAAGGCTGGACAGTTCTGAGCTGCTTGTAAGCTCCAGACCCCCAGAAGCTTTTAGGTGTTTCAGAAAGGAGGGTCTGAGTCCCAAGAAGTCCCTTTAAAGATGATAAAGGTTAACACCCCCCCCATTGCCTGCCAGCAATCTGCCTGTACAATTCAGCTGTCACCAGCACGACAGATTTTACCCAAAGCTACTTATTTCTCTGTAATCTAACTCTGAAACATCTCCAATTGCTAGGACTTCTATGGGTCTGAGGGACTTCCTGATGGTCCCTCTCCCTACATGCCTTTCTCATATTCTCTAGTGTCCAACAGCAGGTGAGATCATAGTACTGCATTTCCTTCAGTCGTTCCTCTCTTTCCCCCTTTCACTTATTTCCACACAACTTGTGGAAGTTTACTTATTTGTGAAACCCTTTTGCTTTTATCAGATTTAATGGTCAAAAGATTCAAAAGGAAAACAGCTTTGTTAAAGATGTGTAGCAGTTTAATTTTAACTTAAAATGTTTTGATGTTACAGTTTGGCCACAGTGTGCACATTTGATACCAGCATTGATCTTTAGATGCCTCCGTAACTTGATGACGTAAGTTGATTTTTCAGAAATACTGATAACCTAGAGCATCTCATACTGACTCATACAGTACCTGTCCGTACTTAGCACTTGTGAAAAATCAGTACAACACATATTTTTGTAATAGTATTTCAAACTGAAATAAATTTCTGATTTTAAGTTAAATTCTGTAAATTCTGTTCCAGGACTATGAACCTAACTACAACTTACTATTACTTTGTATCAGCACCCAGAGGTAAAACTGAGAAGAAAATGTACAAGATAAACTTCTTTCAGTTTTACGACATTAATTTCCATATTGCATTCAAATAGCCTAGTAATTGTATCTTACTCATACCTATAAAGTGCAAAAACTGGTTAAAAATATTGCTAAGGTTGAACTCTCCTATCAGGAAATTCCAAAAATTCAGCAGTTGACCTTAAAGGGATTTAGCTACCCTCACCTTCACCAGAAGTTTGTTTTCATGTCTTTTTGCCTTTTAATTGCTAGCTGTGTGATAATCATGTCCTGTCACACTGGCTACGACAAATTAAATAACAGGAACATACTAGGGTTAAATTTGAAGAAAAAAAAAACAAAACAGGATAAGAAAGTACCATATGGTTGAAATGAAGTTACAGAAACCTTGATTTTTGAAGCTTCCTGACTTTCACAGATACAGCTAAGTGCTGACAAACAAGTTCGGAAATGTTAGCTTTTAGTAATAATCCAAAGCAAAAGAGCCTTGACACAGATGCAGTTCACTGCATCTTACAATCAGATACTGTTAATCAGTACATATTTAACTTCTAGAAACCTTAACTTGAAATTTTCTTTAACAGATCTTTAACAGGAATTTCCCTGTTCCCTCTCCACAGACATTGTGAAGCACAAAAAATTAGTATCTGTACATGTATGACAATATCTCTATTTCAAATAGCGAGCTTACTTCCCACAAACTGATCCCAGGCACACTCAAATCATTGTGCAGTCCTGAACACTGTGCAAGGTGAAGTCCTGTGGAGGCGGTATTTTTATGAATCTCGTCTGGAAACTTCTAATCTGGTTTAGAATCCTTCTGATCAATTTCTAAATTCCTCTGAATTTTTGGAAAATCCAGAGCTGAATGCAGAATGCAGAAATATAAGAGAAGTGGGCTGTTTTCCATTTCTGACTTACGTAAGAATACTTGAGGTAATTTTGCTCAGATTTTCCAAAATACCCTGTGCCCCCAAAAAACTGTTACGAGAGGTTTTCACGTTAGTAGACTTCCCTAGTTCCAAGGGATTTTCAAGTAAGATGTTCTTGTCGGAGTTATAAACTATTTTCCTGGTGACAGGTAAACCCAAGAAGGCACAGCTTTGGCTGCTTCTTCTTAGAAATATATATCCCATTTGTATAACAGTATACCCCAAAGCTCCTATGAAATCAGATCGCATTGTGTTCAGGCATGATTTAAACATAGGAAGGATATCCAGCTCTGAAGAGGGTATAGTTTTGGGTGAAAAAAAAAAAAACCCAAACCATGCTAGTAGCATTTCATTAGAAAATAAAATGAGTGGGTGCATAACTCAATGGACGCCTGTGCGGATGAAGTTCAGAAGGCCCCAGCGCTATTACCATCGCTGAGAGCTTTGTCTGCAGATGCACTGATGCTCTGCAAGCTGGAGTTTGCACTGTCTACTTTTTGAGGTTTTTCCTTTGACTCAGGTTGTGATTTTATTAATTTTGTTTTGTTTTGTTCTGTTTGCAGATTTTCTTTAGGAAGGAGAAACTCAGACTTTTCTTACTAATTCTTTTCTTCACCGGATGGTGCTAGTGGTGGCATACATTATCCATTTACTCCTACACTAAGCAAACAGACTCTGAAAGTCACAGAATGACAGTAAATTTGTGGTTCCCTGTAGTGCCATTTATGCTAAGCCATTTCCTATTAATAAATCATATTTCAAAATTCATTTTCAAAAAGTTCTATGGTTAACACAATAGTTTGCACTTGCCTGCCTACTTTTCCGTCTACATAACTTTTGGCTGCATGCTAGCCCTTATTCTATAATAGGAGAAAGGCATATGTTCCTTAAAAGGAAACCCCATGCTGCTACTTAATTCTGACTCAACTAACTTGGCAAGAAATTAATGTACTCACCTCCAGATCAGAACCACTTCAACCTGTGCTGAGCCTCATAGATGACAGGATTCAAAGGGTTGGAACATTTCATCAAGCTGCACACCGTATGGAGACTGGCATGGTCATTGCTGTTCACAGGAGGCAACTGCCTCCATTAAAGAGTGAATAAAAAAAATATTTAATCTTTCTCTATTTAGAAAACCTATCAGAAGCTATTAAAAACAATAATAAAAGCAAAAACCAACCCCATTTTAAAGATACTAATGAAAGCCTTATGTACTCTATATGGTTCATGTGTGTATACACTGCTATCACGGGTAGTAGTAGCAATACCATTATGTCATCATTTTTTAATCAGAGTTTTATCGCCACTGCATATTCCGCAGGCACACACCCACCAAACAACACAAGAAGCCGTCTGGTGGAGCATTGTTCCTAGTCACCGTAGGCTACAAAGTGGACTTCTGCACTACCTTCCCCTTGGGATGTTTGGAGAGAGTCCCAGAATGAAGTTGGAAAGTTGCAGCTCACCTCATCTTTTGATGGAAAGAAAATAGGGCAGTGCTATGGGAGAGGGAGCATTACCTGATTTTATTGCTTTCTGTTCTGTTGAAATACTGGAGAGTGCTGAGAGTGTTAGTGCTTTTTTTGTAGCTCAGCAAGATGAACTAACGTCTGTCTCATGTACCTTTTCCTAACCTTTTCCCTCTGGGAAAGTTCTGTAACACAGCGTTTTGTACCTGTTCCAAGAACACAGGGACCATTAGAGAAGGTAGTATCAAAGAAGTACATCTTCCACTAAGAACAGCGTTTACGGTAGAATGTAGCTTCTGGTGATTCATATACGCCCCAAAAGCAGTCTTTCACAGCATTGTTTTATCCCCTTGCATTATCTTGTAGTTAGGTGCTCTCCACTGTGTCTGCAGGGACCAGACTTACCAAATGAAAGTCTAGAGGAGAAAGATGTTGGGTCCCAAGAGATAGCTTTTTTGTTAGAGGATTCCTTTTTTGCACAGTAGATGAATTAGAATCGAGTCCTTTCAGGTGCTGAATCCTATGCAAAGCCATATTTGCATGGGTTTGTTCCTTTTTTTGTCCTTCAAGAAAGGAGTGTTCACTCAGTATCACTCAAGAAAACTGGTTTCAGAGAATGACTAAAAATAATGAAAAGGTTTCTTCTTCTGTTGTTTGTGCCATGTATTTGAAGGAAAAGCCTGTTTTATAACCAAGATATACACGTTTCTCTCTAAGGCTAGGCTTATATGAAGAAAATTAGGAAAACTATTATAATATGTGTGATTATCTTTAAACATTAAGAATTTTACATCCTGAAATACTGCAAAAATAGAAGGAAAAGTGAAATACGTGCAGAGGGTCTAACTTCATAGATTCGACTTAAATGAGTAACTTCCTTAGCCTCATTCTTATTCATGAAAGCTTTGCTAATAATTCCCAGCCTCTCCCGAAAAAAAAAAGTGATTCAATTTCCATTTCAGTTCAAAACAACAAATCTAACACCAAAGATTAGAAGTTTTGAAGGAATTACAACAAAATTGCCTCTATCATTTTTAGCTGCTCGAGTATGAAAATGAAACAAAATCTATTTCCTCCTCTGTGTTTTAACCTCAAAATGTGGAGGACAGATGTAGCAAGAAAGCAAAACTAACTCTTCTGCAAAGATGGCAAGTTTTGCAACGTGCTTAAAAAAGCCAACAAACTCTGAAGGGAAATTGTTGCAAAGTTGTAAAAAATCATGCTTCACGTACAGTTAGCGGTGGTTTTGTCCATTATTTTGGTTGATGTTTAGTTTCCTCAATGTTTGACATCCCTATTTAATTTAGGATTCTGCAGTTATGTCTGTGTTAGTTCACCCTACGCGTATTTGTGTTTGACATGATGTGAAAACGTGAAATGAAAAAACTAAGAGAGAATGATAAATGATAATTCAATCTTCTTAAGAACAGTTTGCCACCTGCCACAGGCTGACAATTACAATTGCATGTTAATACAACAATTGTATTAACATGCAAATACATGGAGACTGTCTATGGTCATTTGGCCAAGACAAAAGTAGAAGGCGACTGAACACTTCACTGGAAATAAGAAGTGAACCTGAGATGCTGACAGTTTGGGGGCGTAGATGCCACTGAAAGAATTTATTAATAATCAGTGTAGCAGGAATAGTGCTTGTTGAAAGCTGTGAACAACTTTGGACAGACTAATGAAGAAGGATATGGGAGAATAATGTATTCTGCTATAGAATATATGTTTAAATTGCTTATTACAAAAGACAGATAAATGTAAAAACGCATAGTATAATTAGTTAAGCTGTAATGTTGGGAGTTCTAATGCAGATGAGACTTCCACAATCTCTGTTAGGTATGGCTTATAGTTGATGGTGTGCTCTTTCAGTCAGAATTCTAAACTTGATGAGTGTTGAAGGTCCATCGAAGCCTGAATCTATCCAAATGTTGAATTTTGATAACATAAGGAATTCCTGTATATTTCTGTAGAATTCATTGCATTTATAGGGTTCTGTCCACAGAACTCTTGAGGAACAGAGCATTAGATACGCAATGATGCACAACCAACATAATCTGTTACTCCTAATCTTTTAAGTGGTCTGGATACCAGTGGCATCTTAGGTGATTAGATTTCGGACGGATTGGAACGTTGTTATTTTGCAGTTTGTTTCCTTCCTTTCCTGCCAGAAGTTTTCACTTTCACTGAAGCACATCCCTGTGTGAGTTCTTCCATAGAGCTCGCCTGGAAAGAGAGAGAGATGTTAAAATGAAAAGCAAATTGTTAGGGGATGACGTGCCACAGAAACTGGCAATGAGATCAAGAACTAAATATATAAGAAGAAAACTCGATTTAATTAATTTATTTCAAAATCACCAGGTATCCTTTAAACTGTATATTCAAGGAAACCAAGTAAACTCACCAATATAAATCCCGAGTTAAATTATAGTTCCAAATTGCTGTAGCTCTCCTTTTCCATAAAATGATGTTATCTGATACGGGCAACTGTTCTCTTCTGCATAAAGAGCAAAAAACCACACACATCACTGTAAAAATGGTAGTGATAAGCCTGTCCTTTAAGACGGTACTCATCAGCTTGCCATTTAAGAACAATAATTTTGTTTGACAGAACCAAAGTCTATCTGCAGACAGGTAACACTGTGAAAACAGCCTCAGTCTTCAGCTTGAGTCTGTTGGCAGTTTGAGACCCCCATACCCATCAGATCAAACTCCAACAGCTTTTAGCTTTATAATTCTCCCCTGTCCTTCTCCCCGTTGCCTCCTGGGGCACTTCACGTTACTTACTTGCAGATCAAGTCCTCTGACTCTAGCGTTCTCCCCTGCTTTCTTTCTTTAGGACAGCAGTCACACTCCTCCTCTCTAGCTTGTCCTCTCTAACAACCCGCTTCGCTAAGTCCGAGGCTCTTATATGAAGCACGCTCATGTGGCACGGGAAAGAGAAAACTCATCACACAAGAACATGAAGGAGAACGTGCCTTGCTCGGCTTAGCCCTCTGCAATAAAGCCCGCGGGCGAGGCCAGGAGCAGCGCACACCGTCTTCGCCGCTGACGAAAAGGTGCGTCCCTCCGCGGGCCCCGACTCCGGCACCCAGCGCAGCGCGACCGCGGGGCGGACGGGCCGCTCCCCGCCGGCCGCGGCCGAGCAAGGCCGGGCCTGTCCCCCGGCTTCTGCCTGCCGCCTCCTCCCCCCCCCCCCCCCCCGCGCCTCTAGCCTTTATCACTCTCCTAACCCTAACCCTAAGGGTAAGGCTAGAGCTCAGGCGGGAGCTGGATGTGA